CTTGTTCTAAGTAGGTGCTTTAGACCACTGAGCCATCTCCCCAGCGCTAAAAATATATCTTAAAACTATCACAAATGTGTATCAGTTAAGAAGAACATAAAAGATAAATTATAGTCATTACAATAAGAAGAAAATTGGAAGAGAATATGCAGATTAACTTAATGGTTGTCCTAGGATTTTAAAGTAGGAATGAGTTCTTCTCCTGTAGTTTCCAAACTTTCTTTGTTGCTGTTAATATGATTTTTTTTTTTTCTTCTGGTTTTGGTGCTAGGGATTAAACATGAGGCATGCTGAATGGCAAACATCTGTAGTTCTACTACCGAACTACAGCCCCGATCCTGTGGCTTTTTTTTTTTTTTAAACAGAATAATCCTCTTTCTCCATAGAAAAGTATAATGACTTTCATCATTAAGCTTTCTAAGCGTAAGGGTATAATGTCCTTTCTCTTTTGAATTATGATATAATCTTTTCCTCTTCATGTTGTGGTAATATACATAAATTAGTGAAATTCATCATCTTAATCTACTTCATGATCATTGTTATCTCCCCCTCTGCCTCCCTTTTCTCCTTCTTTAAAATCAGGTCTTGTTATATTGCACAGGTGGGCCTGCAACTCCTAAGGTCAGCTAATGTTCCTATATAGGTCTTCAGATTATTGGGACCATGTGCTTGAGCTTTTTGCATTTGGCTTAATCAGTTACTGATTGCGGTGCTGGAAATGGAACCCAGGACCTTGCATATGTTAGGTAACTGCTATATCACTGACACCCTGAGCCCCTCTTAAACATTTTTAAGTGTGTAGCTCATTAGTATTACATATATTCATTTTATTGTGCAACCAATACCACCATTTCTCTTCAGAGTTCTTTAAAAATTTTTGCAAAATCCCTCAGAGGTGGTGCACACCTGTAACCTCAGCACTTGGGAGGCTGAGGCAGGCAGATTGCTGTGAGTTTGAAGTCAATCTGGACTATGTACTAAGTCCTTGTGTCAAAAAATTGTTTTTAGCAGGCTGGAGAGATGGCTCAGTAGAATAAGGCCCTGAGTTCAAACCCTGAAAAAAGAAAGAAAGAAAAAAAAATTGTTTTTGTCTCAAAACTGAAACTCTATAACCACTAAACAATGACTTTTATTTGGCCTTCCTCCTAGCCCTGGTAACTACATTTCTATTTTCTCTCTGTGATTTTAACTTAGTAACCCATATAAATGGAATCATATAGTGTTTGTCTTTTTGTGGTATTATTTCACTTAGTATAATGTCTTATCCATGTTGTAGCATTTGTCAGAATTTTCTTGCTATTAAGGATAAATAATACTCCCTTAGGGGCTGGGGAGATGGCTCAGAATAAGCGCTTCCCTGACAAGCACA